TGGGAATCATAATAATAATAATTTATTTACCACCACAGTGTTGTTTTCCCATCATACAATAATAATAATTTCTACTATGTAGTATATGTATCAACTTTTCGGTCTAAATCAGAGGAAGTCCATTCGCTTGTTTTTATCACCATGTATTTTCACCCCCTAATACTATTAACCATAGGCGTGCGCACAGGGGCAGCAAGGTGTGCTCTTGCTGCTCCTGGACGGTTTGAATATATTTGTATGSGCCGAACTATTACTATATAATAATAACATAACATAATAATAAAGAATAATGTGTTATTGATATTTGATGTATTTTTAATTTTGATTTGGTATACCGGTGTTGAGCAAAAACAATCTATGATTAACCAATGGTTATCGTTTAAAATATTTTTATTTAAAGGTCAAAAGTTAAATTTTGATTTTGAGCTTAAAAATGTTAACTTAATACCCATGTATGGGCCGGTAAAAATATTCGCTGCCCCTGACTTGAAACTCTGCGCACGCCTATGCTATTAACTAGTAAAACTTGAAAAACTTCTTCCTGTTGATATTATCAATTTTATGGCATTTCTGCATAGAGACAATAAGGCCCGTTTCACATGGACGCGTATCGTACGCGCGCGTTTTCAGTTACATTAGTTAAATGCATACGCGCCACTCCGACGATGACGCGTTTTGCTTGCCAGTATATGACGTATATGAACTTAATCAATGTAAACAGTAAACGAAAAACGCGCGCGTATGATACGCGTCCATGTGAAACGGGCCTAATACTATTAACTTTTGATCGTACTTATGGTAAAAATAATAATCATTATGTTGTGTTATTTTGTAAATACGCGGCCAAAAGTACGAATGCTAGTATAATACCTTCAAATGTAGGTGAATATAATAATTATTATAATTTTAATACGCCGATCGATTCGAGCCAGTTCGGCTAAAGAACATCGGATGACGGCCGCTTGCGTTTTGTAGCTCACCCTCTGCGGTGACAAAGTTGATCGTCCGCCGTGAGRCAGATTTTACGGTTTTTTCGTATATATTTTTCGGGACATTTGCCGAAAACGATCGCTTCGCCGTTAGTCACTGTTCAGCTGTTGTCTCTCGGGGTTTTTTTGGCACCGCGATCCGTATATATATAGGTATATATAATAATTTCATAATATTGTCGGTGCCCATTATCATCGCTCGCTCGCTCCATCACTGCCGCACGAAATCGAATGCACCTGCGGCGTGTGTGGACGGTGGTTGGTGGATGTGTGGGTTGGGGGGGAGAGATATTTTCGAGTAGAAATCGCGTACAGAAACCACGACACCCGCTACCCGCAGCCACTGCCTTCGCCGTCTGCGGACGGTGTTGCGACGGCCAGAAGAAAAAAAAATAAATACCATCAGTGCCAGTTGGCATTTTTCTCGCGCGGCGTGTCCTCCGTCGCGACCGTGCGGGTCGGTCGGTCGTCGCTCTGTGACGACGAAAACTACGCGGGCGGTGGTGGCCGGGTGTTTCGCAGTGCAGAGGACAACGACGACGACAAAATAATGCCATTACCATTGAGACGGGCCCGGCCATGTTTGGAATTCTTGGCTCGTATTTTCGAGGTTGTGGCGACCRTGTCCCGCATTGAATACAACCCGGGATATCCGACAAACTGAATGCGGAAATCTAGCACGTTTTGCCTGAGCCGCTCCCTGTGCACTGCGAAACGAATAAGAGATATTAAGGAAGGGGGAGTACGTTTAAATAGGGAAAAATAACGTATAATTATTAATTACTAAATTATATAGATTAGGTTAGGTTATGTTCGGCTAACCCGAGCACAATATAATGAAAAACTTCAAGATTACATCTGACCCGATTACTACCCGAGTATTATTAATATTATTGATGTTTGCTGAGCTTTGTTTATAAAAATTAACAATGTATATTTTGGTATGATAGTCTGGTTTGATGAATAAATTATGCGTTGTAAGAAGAAAAAATAACTACTACCTATATTTTTTACCGCTTTTTATTTTTGATTAGTATTAAATGTTATGGGCTGAAAACAATTTTTTTGGCCATAGTTATTTTAAATTTTACATTCTGTATTTTTTTAAAAAATACAAATAATAATTTTATTACGATTTATAATTCTAAATAATATTTTTTTCGGAATTTTATTATTATGAAAAATAAACGCGGCGATGGACAAGTGGAAATTTAAAAGAAAACTGTTTTGGCGGCGGGAAAGGCACGTTAAAAATACGACGCTACGACTGCGGTCTACTACAGCGACGGTCTACGACAGTACGACGTCCCGCATGGTACTTAACCTACGCTCGATTTCTATTTCYATTGTTGGCCCGTAAATGGTTTTCGATTCGTATATTTTCGCAGATACCTATGTAATGAACATTTTATTATTATGGTGGGTATATTGTCACAATATCTGCAGAAAAATATTATTTGGAATTCTAATAGCATTGTGACGGTGTATTTCTTTTATCATAAATATTTTATTATAATTATTTATAAGTAAGCAGTCACATAGTTTGTTCCCAAAAAACCAATGAACTTCCTTTGTGTAACGTGACTCAAACACACGTGCGTGTACTAAACGCAAAATATTATTATGACAAAGTATAATATTGTWTTATTCATTATCCATCTGGTTTTCTATTATAATATTATCTGGTATTTATTAAAAATATTAATCGTTTTTAGTAGTCGCGCATACGCCCGCGTGTGTACTGTATCAACTACTATGCTAAAATCGTCGGCGGTCACTCCTCTCTCCGAGTCCTGAACTGCTGCTCACGGTGCCTAAAAATATTATATTATAATCGCAAWAATATTAATCATAATGATACTATAAACGCTAAACGATTCGGAGACAACAAGTCAAGCCGTACGAATTACCTACGTATTATATAGTAATGCAATGCGTATACCGAACATTATGATTATTTCACTATGTGTCTATGTGTACTTATAAAATGTAGTAAGTAGCTATGTATTATTGTGGCAAACGATACAATATTGCCGACGTGCTCTAAAATCACTTGTCGTTGCGATACAGAGAAAATTATCTCGCGTGTACTACTCCATTTTTGGCTACRGGATTCAGTTGTTAATTTTCCATTATCATTTCCCAATCGTTTATCTCTCTCTTTCTCTCGTAACAACATTTGACAACGTACCACTTTATGTGACAAAGCTTACTTATTTAATTATCTAAYGTACGCGTAAATGACATAGCTTGTTGCGATCTTTGCTTTCTCGTTGTTGGGTTGTCGTCCGACTATACGGCGCTATTTTTTTACTACCTTTTCCTGAAACAAGTTCCGCAGGACGCTCGTATCTGCGCGGAACAGTCAATATAGACGGTTTTCCCTATCAATCGTGGAACGACGTCATTCCTCCGATTTTCGCACTCCGAGTTCTTTGTAATATTATCTKCATGATTATTATAGTTGTTACAGTTATAATGTTATAGTTACATTGGCCATGGTTTGTTTTTAATAACATAGGGTCTTTTTTAAATTCACTCTGGTCAATATGTGTTACAGATTGTTTTCCTCAAGACAATAAGACGCTAGTATGTCCGATATTGTTGTCCCGAAAAACTTAGTAATCCCATAAAATTCACCAACTCTAGTCTTATTATCATACTTTCCCAGAACTTGTACATAATGTACGTTATAATAAATTGTATTCACTTGTAATATCATAATATACACGTCGAGTTTTAGACACACTATTATAATGTGTTGTAATAGAAATTAATATTTATCATCGTGTTATTATTACGCTCGCGTATCACGAAACTCCTAATGACATCGCTCTAAAGTAACGATGAAACGATTTTAATAATTTGTAACTCTCTAGCTATTATATTTTAATATGGTGATATTCCACGGTTTCTTGGTATAATCGACAACCTTATTCGAAAAAACTATACTATTCACATAAATATCCACATTCAAACGATGTCAGTATTGGTTTTGAATAATTTATTACGACACGATAATATGATATTTTATGGTACCTATGACGATAAAACATGCGCGTCGTGTATATATATTATACTCGCGTGGCACATATAACCGACGTATACTTTTGTTAAATTCATCGTGATAATTGTTATTGCGAGTGTGTTTTACGTATTGCAGCAATGCTATAATAGTTATTCGAAAAAAAATTAAATATTTTTTAATGTCCAAGTCGTACCGTCGATGAATATGTAAGTGACGATAAGTGTGTGTACAATGACTAGATCCGAAAGTGCAACTAAGAAGTACTATAACCAGTATAACCGTGTACATTGTTCGTAGTTATTATTTGAAATTACGTGAAACATGATATAATATAATAGTAATTCGCTCTCGACTCGACCAAAAGGATATAACAAAAACAATGATGATCAAGAAATCAATTAATGGAAATCCACACTGCATAAAAAGAATTTTTTTTTGAAAAAAAAAGCCCTTCACGTGCTCGTTTGTCATTTTTCTCTCCTGCCGAGCGCGTCAAACACAGTGCGTAGTTGCGGCGATTCAAGGGCGTCACAATGGAGCGGGGCGTTGTGCCGCGCAGCTGTTGGTACGCTCCTCGTGCAGCGATCCCACCTCGCGCCGCTTCGACGGTCGTCGTCACACTTGTGCGTGCGTGTGCGAACGGCTCTTTCGGCGCGCACACCACACAAAACAATCGCTGATGCGCGCACGAACTCACTATCGATAACGATAGACGTCCGTCGGCGTAGACGATGATCGTTGACGATTGTTGACTCCACAACATATTGTGTGCTGCAGCGCTCGGGCGGTGGCGATTGCAATCGTCAGCTGGGGAGGAGGGCGTTTAGAGCCGGTAGTAAAAAGCCGTGTTGTAGCGATAGCGACGACCGCGGCTTCTTAGTTTTTGGTAGTGGCGGTGTAATGGGGAAAGGTGGGGAAAAAATCGATAGTGTACGGTTCCGCCGCCTGGCGCGTGTGCGTGCGGGTCGACGACGGGCGCTCACCGCGATTCCGGAGGACGGCCAGTTCGTGTTGAGCGCGCGGTTTGTCATGCCAGCAGTGGTTTTGCCGACTCGCCACTGTATAGCAGCACCGAACACGACGACGACTAAAAAATCGCCTTCTACCGCCGCCGTTTCTATTGCTGCTGCCGGTACTAATATCACGACGACGACGACGCTCTACTGGTTGCCTGTAGTGGATAGCCCGGCGTGTTGTTTTTGCTGTTATTGCGGCGGTCGGCTGTTCGTCGTTGGCGGTGTCCCGAGCACCGGACGTGTTAATAGCAGCGTTGGTATCAGCAGTGCGCTGAGTCGTTTCGACGCGTGTTCGCCGCCGCCACCCCCATCGCGTAATTTTGGTAGGCTCTGCCGGTGTGACGGTGCCGTAGTCGCCGCCACCACCGCCGCCGTCGTGCTACTAGTGCCGTATGTGCTTGGGCCGCCGTGCTTTCGACCGATCGTATTGCCGCCCACGTTCGTCGCTGCCGCCAATCACCTCAGGCATCACCGCCGAATACATCACCAACACCAACACCACATCTACAACACGGTCGTTGCTGGCAACAATATGGAAACTAGGTAAATACCTCCTAATTGAATATAAACCATTTTTATCTGTTGCCACGCGTAGAATTTCGGGCTGATAATAGTTTTAGAGCTCGGTTAATTGTCGCCGATAACGTCGTAGTTAAAAGCAGCAACAACAATAACAATAATAATAATGTAATACTCGTGTCGCACGTCCTCGCTGTCGACGAATCATAAATGTAATCTATAATAACTATTATCAAAAAAAAAAAAAAATAGTAATGATAATAACAGAATATGCGCACACTGTCGTATCGTGTCGTATTATATCATACGTCGTTCTACTTATCATTGGAATATTATATCCCGTGATAACTATTTACTTTGTGTATTCGTCGATATACCCTTTCGCGAAGATACGACACCGCGGCCTCCGCCTTCGACCCTACCTTCTTATCCACCTATCTACCTGCCTGCCTACCTACCTACCAACCAACTAACCAACCAATCTACCTATCTACCTACATGGTCGACGCTGCATAKGCCCGCGTAGAACTCGATGCACGGCAACAGCGGACGCCATCGTTTATTGAACCGGTCTTGAAAAAACCGCTTCGGTTGCCCTTGAACCCATATCCCCAGCCCGCCACTATAGTATCTGATGTATTATGTGGTGCGTACACTTGGTCGCCGTTCTCTTTTTCTGTTTTAAGTTTTTTTTATCATTATTATTATTCCTTTCCGACTCGGCCGCTAAGCCGAGGGCTTTATCTCGGTCCTATTTAGTGGTGGGGAATAGGCGGTTATTTTAGGGGAAAGGAGGGAGTTGGCGCAACGATGTTACACAACAGCTGCTGTTGCTGTGTTGTGAGCAGTATATGTGCGTGTTTTTTTTTTAACTAAAGCACAATGAATATTATACTAAAATTGTAACCAGTGAAAGTTTTTTTCGCTTCCGCCCCGTTGTCGTCGACACCACCGCTGCAGTACACAACAACGGCGGCGGTCGCCTGAAATAATTACGTTGGGCTGGGGCCCGGTGGTCAGCACGAGCCGCAGGGACGTTGACCTTCTCCGCCACCGTCACCACGTATAATTATACGCGATACGGCCATCCCCCTTTTGTTGTAACGGTTCGGTTGCGCAATGCCCGTTGTTGAGGAGGAAGTAGTAGTAGGGTAGTAGAGGCACGTCATCGAGGGGTGGTGGTGGTGAAGTGTATGTGTGTACGTGTACATAAACGGTGTGCGGGTAGTGGTAATGGTAGTAGTGGTGCGGGTATATAGACAGCTCACAATGCGTATTAAAAAAATAAAAATAAAAAAAAAGCTCCCCTCGTAGTTTTGTATTATGTATATAACGTGATAAATGCGTTCCGAGCGCTGTGTACAATGTAAAATGCACTTAAATGCGCACTGCTGTTGTGTGTGTATATATGTAGTGCTTRCCAGCGTTAGGCAAACGTATGTTGTTATAGGTACCAGCGTATAATATTATGTGCTACCCAACTACAATGTGTTTGCATTGCTCGCGTAGGTACTTTTGGCCATGTTTGTTTTTCCTCTTGAAAAAAGCGCCAAAAATAGGCTACGCTCACGCCCACAGAACAAAGCAAAAAAAAAAAAAATGAGTGTAATATCGCGTTCGTGTTTTTAACAATCTTATTGACCCGTAACAAATTTTTTTACGAGCTCGGCTGACCGGAATGTTTTACAAAACGACTGCCGTGCGTGTTTCTGCGTAGAAGGCCAAAAAGTCGTAGAACAGTGGAATATCTTGTTTTTATACATCATATTATATTGTACTCTACGGGATAGATTTTTTTTTGTAAATAAAAGAAAAACTCAGGTCAGATAAAATCCATGGATTAGAACAGAACAATAATATGATGAGAAACACGATCGGTGTACYGAGAATCCGTGTAGTTATCATACCCTGATTTGTTACTTTAAAAACAAAAAGAATCAGAACATCGAAATTTTATCCTTGACGATTTTTAACCTAACCTARCGAAATTTAAGCTCGCCGTGTTCATCGGTTAAGTTCGTCACGACGTGGAATAGCTGGGTTTGTATAGTTTTTATCAACGCTGTGAACGTCCGGCCGGTTGTCGCATTATAACATGTTAGCTGTTTGCAGATGATGCATTGTGATGCTCGCGCGTACAGTATAATAATGTGATATATATGTATATGCAGTCCATGACTTTTGGAACGTACTCGAAAAAATGTCGTTAACGCCGCATCCCTCGTGTGGTAAGAATAATATATATTTATATTTATATATATATAGGGAGCTATAGAAAAAGGGACATGACAGTGGCGGCGCGCACCCCTGCAAATTCCCGCGACGAGAGAACCCTCTCCGACGACGGCGCAGCCCCGACCCTACGCGCGTGGAGAAAGAAACCGTCGTCTTGCTATGTCTCGGCGGTGGGTTCTCAAAATTCGGTACATGCGTGTGTGCAGTACACGGTATCGAGAATCGTTCAGTTTCTATTATATATATATATATAATGTTATATTACACTGTTGTACACAAACGACGGAATCGACGGATACGGTCGTTGCCGCAGCCAATGTATTTACGGTCTCGACACGCACGTAAAAAGCCGAGAGCATTGAGTGAGTGAATTCTGTAAGTGTATGAGAAAGAGAGAGAAAGAAAGAATGAGTGATTCGAGTTACTGCGGTCTAGAGTATACTCTAGAAGGCAACGTTGCCAGTCCGTGCGCCGGCCATCTGTGTGCGGTCGTTCTTTGTTTATTACGTATCCCCGGACACTACGTGTATGCCATTAAATCGTCGGTGCTTTGCTTGTTTTACTACGAACCTGCGCTGCTGCCATCGTCGTARTGTTCATCATTATGTGGGACTAAAAATTCGAAATGGATCGACTATTATGGTTGCATAATCCTTGGGCCCGCCAACACTCGATCACGAGATTGTGGTCGTATAATGCAGTCGTCGAGGACACATATCGGATGGAAGAGTGACCGAAAAAGTCTTATATGAAAAACATTKACAATCCGATAACCTTAGTACTCGCCTAAGTCGTACACTATTTTGTTATCAATTCTTTTATCGTGGTTGAGTACACATGGTTATCACATATTATTATGTACGTATTATAATACAATATATCTATAATACAAATGTGACRACTTTTCTCTCGTACCATCTGTCTCTTTGCAYGATACACAAATTATTTCGTTGTGTCTGTGATTGTAAGTGTGGTATATTTTGTCCACCTACAACCGATGCCTAACCAGCAGCAGCAACAGCCCCCTTTCACTACTAGTTTTTTTCTTCATTCCCGCTTACTCTGTCCATCCGTCTCTTTCTGTAACCTTTTGTGTGTCCGCTATACATACACTCACACACACCTGGGTCGTCGTCGACACCGCCTGGTCCGACAGCATCGACGGCGGCGGCTGCTGTGTGGGGCGGGCGATGAGAAGAGGTGTGTGACTATCAGTGTGTGTGAGTGCGAGTGCAGGTATCGCCAGGTGGTTTTTATTATTATAGTTTTTTTTCCCCGACGGATCCGATGAGAGACACCCACCGTACATGTACATGTACATAATAATATTATCCAACAACAATACAAAAGTTTTGTGAATAACACCTCCTCCACCCTCACTGCTGTATGTCGTCGTGTTGTCGCGCCGCCGTCCGAATGTGTGGTGGTGTGTGAGTGAGGAGTACCTGTTGTGCGAGAAATAAAATGTATACACTTCGGCTGTCCCGAGACGAGACAGCGTATCCGAGATTTATTTATTGGAATTCTTCTTATTTTACTCGTATATTATTATATTATATATTATGAGAGACGTCGAACGCGGTGGCTACGGCTGCGCTACGCGAACACCTTCGAATCCGCCTTGGCCTAATTTCTCACATATCGTGTAGTAATATTTCTGTGGTGTGTATATAAGTTATTGTAGGTAGTGTTATTTATAATATTACATGCGTAAATATTTATTTTTATTTTTTTTCTCAATCTTCTAGCGCCGCGCACCGTTAGAAATTGCTTGTGTGGTTTTGAGTGAAAAGTGAAATCATATTTTTGGTCGAATTGTCACACGATAAAGAATAATAGCGGTCACAATTAACGTCAGTTATTTATTTTTATGTTTTATACTCTTTCTCGCATATATATAATATATTTAATATATTATATAGTTATCTAATCGRAATTATATTTTTGTTTTTATATTAAATTTTCCAAGTAATATGTTCCGTTAAATGAGATTCGTATTTTTGTCATTACTGTCGCTCGTAACTGGAATGATTTGGTGTCGATAATTGAGGTGGATGGATAGATAGATATTTTGACAGTTCACGAGATGTAGCACTGCAGTCTTAATTTCTCGTCGATGTGCGAGTGTTTTGACATTTACGAAAACAAGGTCGACTAGCTGTATCCAATAATAATAATTATTCACAAATGTGCATAATATGTATTTTAGTAATGACAGCGTCATATCAATGAAGAAGTAATTATTCGGGTCAAGGCATTGGATATTTAATAACGAAACTTGTCTCACAAATAATACCAAATCAATTGCCTCTATAAGACAATAATGACACCCCTGATTTGATTTTATCAGAAAATATTTAAACTAAGATGTAWTRTCRTWTAAACTAACCACGTGTTTTCGGTATTTATCTGTATAAAAATAAGTATTATTAAATGAAAAACTTGCTAATTTGCGTAGTTGAATAAAATATGTRTATATTTATTTAAACATTTATAATGGGTCTAAAAATATTTAGATTCAACTTCCTAACTCTGACTTGAAAATTACGAGTAAAAAACCAGAATCATTGGTACATATCAACCGTTGTTAGCTAGGCACATTAAATAATATTTTATACACTCGCTTTCTATACAATATCAATTTCTCAGTAGAAACTAAGGAACGGTTTTTTTGTCATATTTTTTATTTTCGGATTTACGAGCCTGTGCTCAATTGCAAAGTCGTATGCGGCTTATGTACGCAAACACGRGGATATTATTTTTTCTTTCAAAGTATGCAAAATAGCTAC